AGCAGTGGAATCCAAGACGCGCGTTCCGTCCTACTTGGGACTTGTCATCTGGATGTACCTGAATCTCACAGTTGATGTTCACCCTCGGACTCAAACATAGTACCGTTCACTTCAAACACCATCGCGTTACCCACTTAGCTACTGAGTCCTGATAGCCACCTGCTTGTGCAATGGGAAGTTTAAATTCACTTGGTATTGTTTACTCGAATCTTCCTATTGCCGGCAATAATAAGTAGCTGAGTTACTGGATGATTTTTATATACACTGCAGACTTTTAGAAAAATGCCAGTAAAATGATTAAAAAAACAAGAATACTGATTTGAGCAGACCATGTTGATACTCTGTTTGTTAGGTTTTCTTTCATCCATAAACTGTTAAAAGCCGGATGAGTTGGTTTTTTTCATTTTACTATACTTGGTTTCACACAACAACTAACTTATCACATTTTTGACGTGAACCGGTATCATTCGGTTACTGAGTTAGCACTCGTTCCGCGACATCATATATCTAACCACGTTGAGATTCAATACGTTTAGTTCAAACGTATCAATCGTGCTTTGTATTACTACATGTACGATTAGTGTTTGATTTCTATTGATGTAACTGTGCTCAAAATATTTTATTTTTTCGTCGTCTTCTGCTTCGCATTTATTGGTTGCGTCATTGACTATTGATGTGTATTTTCGGGCAACCCTTCACTTCATGAGATTATTTATTCTCCTCCTATCAAATCCTGTGAAGCATATATACTCTATCATTCTATTTTAGCGCAAGCAGACAAGGGCAGCTTGACTTATTGAGTGAATTTCAGTTGTTTCTGATTGCCATCAAGAAATATTACAATTAGCATCCTCAATTGCTAAACATATAATTGAAACAGGTCACAAGATTGATCTAAACTCAGCTTTCGTAGTGTTGTATAAAAGTGTAAAAGGGCGTATGCTAAGATTTATTGAAGCCTTAGCCATACGAAAATTCAAACCCTCTTTGTGTGTTCAAAAACAGTTTGTTCTCACCTTAAACCTACCCTGGTAATATTCACTTATTATCCAGAGTGATTGGGTTTCAAATTGTGTTCACATTATTATTATTATTACTCTTATCATTATCCTTATCTCCTCTTACCCCGTTTCCTGTCTAGTTGACCTTTTATTTTTATATATAAATGCTCTTAACAAGTATATGTGTGACCAGATTGTTCGAAATGTATGTGATATATTAATATCACATAGTTCTGATAATCTCCGTCTTCTAATATCATTATCGAAAATTAGCATTCATTTCTATACAGTGTTTTCATTTTGTCGTCTACTATTATGTTCTGTTTGTATGGGAACCTCTCAGTTTTGTATGAAATGTGGTTATTAGTACTACATTGTAAACTGTCTAACTAATCCTCCAATTTGGGCCACTACAATGTCCAAACTATAATCCATCAACGACATAGTTTACATCAGAGATCATCACTTATTAGTAAAACTTTGCGATATTCATTATGAAGTCAGTTGTTTTTTCCACATGAATATTTAATTTCGCACCTTTCAGTGATCAGCAAAATCTAAATACACTAGGTTCGCTTCCTTATCAAGTCTAGATCTGAATAGCTCGAACGCATTGATTTCTGAACAATAAAGTTGTCGAACACTTTATAGTTTTTAAATGTTAACCTAGTACACTGTTTAATAATGATGATTATTATTGTATCAAACCCCCTAAAGTAGTGTTGAACGACTTTTTACATACTATATTCATTGATTATATTCAATTTCCAAAAAACACATTCAAATATCTATGATAACCGATTATATTAACAAAATAAACAAAGGCTGAGATAAATTATGGTATAATTTATGTATATAGATGTAAATATAAGTTAACAACTAGCGAATTCATAAACATGAAACAGTTTATTCTAGGTTATGTTCAACTATTAAATGCCCCTTATTGAATTTAAGTAGCTAGTTCATCAATTTTTGAAGCGATTGATAACAATGTTCGGGAAGCTAAGAATCACCTGTTGCACTAATTGGTGATTTATCCACACATCGTATACGGAGTTTTAAGGAAAATAATGTTTTATTTCTTTACAGAATTAAACACAAGTTAAAGAAAGATCATCACTATCTCAAGTTATTCAGATTTTCAGCTAAAGGGGAATTTGGTCGATAAGATTCGATCTGTATTAAAGACTAGACAACATAACATTAATTACAACTTAATTAATGATTAGTATAATCGTTAAGGATATTATAGATCCATTAATACTTAATAGACTTAAAGACTAGAGAAGACGATAGAAGCTTGTCTGTGTTTATTGAGTCTAAGAATTTGAAGCCAAAAAATGTTTCAATAGTATCATTAATTTGTATAAACATCAATCTCAATAAGTTAAACGATACATCGGGCAAAAGTCACATCTAGTGAGTAAACAAATTATTCACCTAATCGAGTTTACTGCGTAGATAGATAGATAGATAGATAGGTTGATTGATTAAAATCACTTCATATCTTTCTTTCTACGAACCAATTCTTTCTTCTTGTAATATATCTCTATATGCAATCTTTCTCTTATATATTACCACCTTTGACCTAACCACTGCTACGAATCCGGTGTTCATCTTGTTGTGCTGATGCGGTATGGCAACCTGGACCGATGCACATATGTGCCTAGTCCTACGTTGTAGCTGACTGACTGATTGATTGAAATGTAAACTATAATGGTTATACAAAACAGAACAATGCAGCAAGTGGTTATCAGTTGTTTTATTATTTTCATTCAAATGATTAACTCGAAATAGAAAAAAAAACAATTAAAAAAAAGGGAAAAAATGACCAATTAGTGTCTTTCAAACAAACAATGAGCAAATATATGACAACTGAATGTGTATACATCAAAATCTGTGTAAAAGTTCATAAGTGTTTGTTTAGAATAGAGAAAAAAATAATAATAAACGATACTGTTTCTATGATGCCTGGCATAGTTGTCGCCTAATATAGAGTAATATTGAAAAAGAAAGTTCATAAGTTAATTGACTAATATTCTGATATAGGCATCTCTAGTTCTTTTTAAAAAGATCTCGGCTTTTGGAATGAGTTGAGTTTTCTTTTCTGATTTGAAAAGTAAACAAAAACTGATAAACAATGAAAGTAATATTGGAAGATCTGATCTGTAGATTATTGCTTGTCTTTGTGTTTTTTTTAAAAAAAGAATTGGCGATAGATATATGATAGGCATCATATAGGTATATAAAAACTGACAATTGTTGCATATAGTATCTATGCCAGCCATTTAAACTAGTTCTAAAATTGTGCTAACACTTTGATTTTAATCAGACGAGCTCATAAAAATAATAAGAAATGAAAAGAGATCAATATATTTTAATAATTTATAGGAAAAACAGTACATAAAAGGGCGTTAATTCTATCTGGTTCTATATCTACCTCGAAACATACATACACATACACAAAAACAATTGGAATCAGACCAAATAAAGTGAATAGATACCATGTAATGGGGATAATAGTAGTAATAAAAATTAAATGCCTTTACACAGACAATAATAATAATGGGACAAAAAGAGGTTGTTGGTGGTGGGATTCCGAGGAAGAGTTAAACAGACAAAGAACAAACAATATCATGTCAACAAATAGACAATACGAAAGTTGAGAATAATGAATAGAGTCTAGACAGACAGATAAGAGAATAAGCCTTAATACAGAAATAATCAATTAACAACAGTTGAAAGATTTAATATTCGTAATCCTCCTCCTCCTCCTCATCATCATCATCATAATAATAATAATGATCAAACTGACTTGAATATTTAATTCGACTGTCCAATACTCGTTTATCTGTATTTTTTGTTTTTAGAAAAAAAAATAATCAATTCCTTGATGTGTATGTTTGATGATGCTTTTTACTATTATACTTTTTCCAAATACTGAGTTAATCCATCTAAAAGAAGACGATTTTTTAAACGACATAATTCTTCGGCTAAACGATCAACATCGTTAACTTTTGCATTTAATTCCGTTTCCAATGTTATTGTATGCGATTTGATAGTACTAATGAGATGATTAGCATCGTTCAATAATGAACGTAACGCTATCATGACACATGATATGTATATTGATGAAAAGAAAGAACAAAAGATCATAAAGTAATTAATAAGTTCATAATGAAGAAACGTGATATAACAAAATATGATAATGTTAATACAAAACCCCTTCTAAACATTTTATTTAAATCACTCATGAGAAAAAATCAGTAGTAAGTAGTATTAGGGAGCTGCAGTATATCCTGTGGTATGCGGAGATAGATGAGGATGAAACTATTAGACTGGTTATCAAACATATGATAGAAGGATTTCATATGAATGAAAGATATAACAGAAAATGGCATATACCCGTGATCATCTCTACTTACAGTTACTTAAATCAATAGAAATTAACAAGGTTGACATCAAATGATCAATACCTGTTGAACAGTTTACCTTCATAGAGTTATTTACCGCAACAAACAAATTATGGCCTCTAAATGATGTAACACATACGAAATACTTAGTCAGTGTTTAAGTAAATAAGTCTAAACTTACTAACCAATGACAGTACGTAGAATTTGCAGATAATTTTCATTAAAAACTAACAACATCTGGAGAAGTACAAAAGTTATAGACGACAATAATTGCTTGCTCATCAGTAACTGACATGAAAAATGAATTTTACATTTTAACAGAAAGTTAAAATCGTTGATGCCAATCAATTGGATAATGTCGATTAACGATTCTTATATAAGTAAAGATTATCGTTGTGAAATTAAAATAACACATATAAGTGAACAATATGATTTTCAGTTAGGTAGTCATCAATCTTTAATATATATATGAGAATACTAAACCAGTCAAAATAATTTATGAATTGAGATGGTGGAGAAGATTTGTAGCTCAGGTGGATGATTTTGGTGGAGTTTTGTTCTCTGAGCTGGACCAAACCATCCAGCTCAGAGAACAAAACTCCACCAAAATAATTTATGAGTCCATGATCTATGAATAACAGGTGAACAGTACAAACTGATAGTAAAAAGACGGGTCTACTGATAAGAATAGTAAAATCGCAAAAGTTCTAGTTAATAGTTCAAAATAGGAAATAGGTCAAACTTGGATAATTAGACTTTAAAATAGTAATAATCATAAAAAGTTTATTAAAATTACATAATTTGTGTGTAAATAATTACGTATTGAAGAATATAAACGGAAAGAGGTGAAAAGTAACAAACACATACGAGATGTGAAAACATTGATAAAATTGTTTATCAAGTTATATCTGGCCAAGATAGGAGTGTCACGAATTTCTTCTAGTCACATAAACTAGGATTATAGGTTCGAATCCTAACAGGTTCTGCTAATATTTAGGAGATGGGATTAAATCCCATTGCGAAATAACAAATGTATGCGATAGGTCACTCAAAATGATTTTATTTTATCTACCATTTATTATCAACTGTGTGTGTGCCAAGATAGGATTAATTATTGTCTTTGTTTGAGCCTTTCCAAACCAAGCTAGTAGACATTCACTCATTCCGTTATACGTGTTGTTCTTAAATAAATCATTAAATTAAAAGTCAACTATTAAATTCTTGCTTCTTAGTATAAGATTATTGTGACAGTGTGGCAGTTGATTTTGATCTTGGTTAGAGTCGCACTGGATGGACATATAAAACTATGAAGCAGTATCTACCCAATGCTCATCTTCAAATCATATTTGGGATCTTTAGCAGTTGAGATTTAATTCTAGAGATCGTTATATTTTAACATCTACTTTGAATCTACGAAGGGTCCATAGTACGTTGATTTTCAGCACCATCATAATCGTTACAGCTAGTTAATTATATCTTTTAAAAACAATCAGTTTTCAACTTATATCTAAGTTGAAACTATCATAGTTTCTGTGAGCTTTTGTGTGTGGAATTTCTAAAGCAAAATATATCAATGGGAAAACAGTCAAAGAGTAGACTGCATAAAAACTTTAAAAAAACAAACATTATGTCATCTAAGTATTCTGATTGAAGTGTATGAACATTAAGCGTTTTCTTTGTACACTTCAATGCTTTAAATTGATAGCAAATAATCTGTATATGCGTTGTTCAAAGCAAATAAGCGCTTACTGAATGACTTTAAGCCAACATAGTTTTATTTTGTAATGGAAGTACGTAGTTCCATGACCTAAATCAATTTGAAATCAACTATTAAAATGAAAACAACACTAAATCACCCTGAAAACAAGAGTGACATAGTAAGTAATTTGAAATATGTATGAAATTAGTCGATAAGGTTTAACCGGAGAATTTATATATGGTAGAACTACTAAGAGAGAAATATTGAAATTCAATGTAATGTACTGTAAACAGATGAGGAAATGAACAATGAGAACGTGAACTTTGATTAACCATGGAGGCCAGTTATTAACTCAATCAGTTTACTATATTTCCTAATATAAAAACAAGCTGGAAAAAGACTTGTGACAGCCAGATCAAAATATTATGTCAGTGCATTAGGCTATTGACTGTTTTGTTAAACCATGTTTAAAAGTGTAAACTTTCTGCTTAAGGCATATGGAGGATATTTGAAGATTTTAGACAAAAGGGTTCAAAATCCCAATTTTACACATTATTCTTCAGTTTAACATTACTACATGACTTCTAACCTTTGAATTCATTAATTCTATTCACCAAATTATCATAATTTTTGTCGTCTTGATATGAAGTGAAGCAGTTTGGGTCGTTGCCTCGTTTATGACTGACATGGCTTAACACTGATTATTATTCATCGACCAGATACCAAGTGACATTTTCGTTGATTTATTTGCCTAATTTTACAAAATACTTGATTTTTCTAGTAGCATTAATAATTAGATCTGCAATGGATTGATTTTATTGATAACAGAAATATTACACTAACCTTCATTTTCAAGTTTTAGACCTTCTTCTTCACTAGCACCCATGATACCTAAAATGTGGATGATACAAAGAGTTTTTGGATAGTAAATACCCATCATGCGCATCAGTTAAACACAATTTACTCTGTAACACAAAAGATGATATATATATATATTTGAGTATAGGAGTTTGTAGAAATTGTTGGATTTTATATTTTGCTTCATCAATTAACCTCGTCTAGATAACCATTGAAAACTAGAACAAACTGGACAGTCGTTTCGTTATGGTCCTCATCCATGACCGCACTGGGAATCAAATCCAGGATCTCCAGATTTCATGGTGAGTGTCCAAGATTTAGATCACTAAGTCGAAGTCCACTGGTTTTGGCATTTAGCTTCAATCGATTCGCGATATTGCACAGTCATCCTATATTACTTTTAGTTGATAACTAACAGCTATTCAATGTCCCCCGGTTTTTAATGATTGTCAGAATAATGTGGATTCGTGAAGTACGCAATAAAATATATTTCTTTCAATGCAACTCTTGAATGATTAATATTAAAAGTAGAAAAGATTTATAGTTTAGAAGGATGATAAACAGTCGTTGAACAACAATGTTTGATTTGGATGACTGAATTCTGAAACATTAATTATCTTTTTGCATAACACTTTTAACATACAGCAAAGTGCAAAGGGAAGTAAGCTGCCAGGATTTTCTTACACAAGCGAATAACTGTTGATTAGAAATTTGGAGGCAACTATCAAGAAGATCTGCTTGATTAGCAATTTACGCCAATTATAATTCGTTAACAATGTTTATCCGCATTCTTGACGATCCTAATAAGGTTGAAATTAGAGTCATACAGTGTTATAGCTGATTACTTTACAACTGAGTCGTGCAATCACGACTGAATTCCAAGAGAACTGAGACATTCACACTGTTTGATCGTTGTAGCGTTTATCTAACCGTTAACAATGATTGAATCATGTCAAATCTCTCAAGCAGTATCAATTCTCTTAAAATTGTAACTATACCATGCTAACGAGAAACAGTTGATGAGAAGCGTAGATCAAGCAAGGTTTCATGAACATCACCTTCAATCATATTAATAAATGAGAACAAATGTGACTATGGAAATAAATGGAGTACAAAGGAGATCAGAGGGTTTTAAGACATTTTTTATTCAGATCAGCCAGCGATACTAGAACTAATTCAGCTAGGGAGAAAACATTTAAAAAAAAATACAAACTCGATGATCATATCAGGAATATAAATAATCAAAAAGTGTGTATAAGCAGTGATGATAGCATTAGTAAAAACAACAAATCATATCCTATGTCAAAAGAACACATTTCTAGACATTTACAGAGGAATCTAAACAGGTCATTTGTTTCTGAAATGTGTTACCAATTTTGATGGAGTTTTGTTCTCTGAGCTGGATGGTTTGGTCGTGGAGCTTTCATCGTTCTTCTGAACGATATCATCAGCACAAACTTCAGATAGAAGTGAAGTGTTTGAATCTTCTCCACCATCATGTGTTACGAATGTTGACAAAGAAAATGTTACACATAAATCATACGATTTATAGTACATTACCAATGTCTATTATCAGAACTAGAGATTTTCTTTACCGTCTTATGATGATCCAAAGTGCTTCTATTGTAATTTTAACAATTATTATGTTTTTATTTGGACTCCCAAATGATCAAATCAATTTATAGTATTTTTCCATGTATCATGATATATGACTGGGTCTATCGAAACTCAAAAGGTAAATAAATCCATGACTTCTTAAATTTGTTCAGCATTCAATAGTTAATTCTTATTATCTTTAAGGTTAGATAATGAGATAGGTGAACCTATGAATCAATGGTTAAAAGTCAAATACCTTGTCAAATAGTATATATTATTCATTCTTAATTAGAAACAATGAATCATAGTCAAATATATGAACCTCTATTTGGTAGTTTGAAACCATTTCCACATTTCTACTGTTGTGATCACTTATAAACATACTTTGCCTTCAAAACTGAGTACTTTGTAGAAGCCTCTTTTTGTATACATTAAATAATCTGTTGAAATTAGGACAGTTATTAAGTTGCAAAAACTATTTTAACTAATCTGTATTATCGTTTTCATTTATTTACACTTAACCAAATAACTAAACGCCTGAAGAGTGTACTCCAATGTTTGTTTTTCATGTGGTTTAAATGCAAACACTTTTTCTGCCAATAATCAATGTGATCTGCTGATGGTTTCCTTTCTAAAATGAGTTCTCTGTATCTAACTTTTCGACATCACAATGTCAATAGTAGTTAATTCCACCATGTGTTTACACTAAGAAGATATAAAAAGTTAGTTGGCATCACGTGGAATTGGAGTTATATCATGTTCACATTAGTGTTTGAAATATTTATGAAGAAAATTAAATCAAAATAAGGAAAAAAAAGAGATCAAATCTGGGGATCCATATAACGACAAAAGAAAATAAGTAGCAATAAGTACGCTTACTTTTAGATCGTCCAGAAGCAGCACTTCGATCAGAACCATGATGAGTTTTATTAAATTCGTTATACTCCATTGTTTGAGAAGTTTCACCGGACAATGTGGATACACAATCCGTTGCATCTGTATCTTCATTAAATCGAATTTGTGAATTAGATAATGAAACTCTACGTGTTGGTATAAGATTAACATTTTGATTGAATTTAGCACTGTTGACTGTTCGATTCGGTAAATTAGATTGACTACTTCGTTTATATGATTGTTTAATTTTCGGTGGAGTTCCTAATGAACTGACTAATTCTGACTCACCGGTAGGCAGAAAATTCTGTTTTGCTGCTAGTTGTAAAATATATAAATATTTGTATATATAAATATGTAAGAAGAAATCACAATAAATGAAAGTGAGAATACTGAAGGTGTGAAAAATCAATAAATCGATTCAATAATTAAATTATGATAGTTTGGAGATCAGCAGGCAACTTGAAGTTGGCATTGAGAGTCAGCCATAAATAACTTAAGATATGGCATTAATGTGTATTGGTCATGAATGCTACAATTGTCATTATAATAGCGAAAAAATCTAACAAAATGAGAAGTACATCAGATCAACTACCTTCAACTGTGATGCAAAATCAAATACGAAGGACACGGTTCTTAGAGAAGAAATGAGACCATAGAATAACGAGTTAAAAATGACGATTGATTAACGATTTATCAGGTGACAGAATTTTTGAACCAATTCGCCTAATGGGGCCTACTAATGATGAGCCATGTGTGGGTCCCAAAATGAAACGTCTGTGGATACAACCAGGTACTGGTGTAATGTCTTTCTTGTTCAATTTTTCGGAAAGAATGGGTAATAAGAAAGAAGTATTGGACTAGGTTATTATTATAATTTCGAATATTTAATGAATATAGAGAATATGAACAGTTTTTTCATTGACAACGAGATCTTTAGGGAATCATTAACACAAATAAACTAGGTCAAAAGAGAATGTGTGTCCATCTTCTGTATTTCTGTGGTCATAAGATAACATTACTACGGAATGATGTTAATAATACACCGTCCTAAATTATCCGAAAATGAACTCTTCAAGGTTACTGACCGATTAATTGACAATCGACATCAATTATTGGATTGTTGCGTCAAGATAGATAAGTTGCAATCACGATAGCAACTACTTCGGAAGCATAATTTAGTTTTATGTACACGTGGATAGAAATCGATCAACAAATCTAATTAGCTTTTATATGCAATCAGGTACTGTACTGCAACTTATTACTAATATAGATGATTTTGTTTTGAATCTGGCATTGACTAATGAGTTATTATCGTTGATCCTTCAATTGTGCATAACTCGATTTCAATTGGAGCGTAGTACAACAATTTTAAATTAATAAAATAAAACATACATATCATATTACCATCTTGAATAAACAGAATGTATAGACGGTAATGTGATACATTAGTTTTCACTACAAAGTAAATATTACACTGAAATTAGTGTATCTTAATGTTAGGTCTTTGAAAGGAGTCGGCAAGAAGCCTTGAACTTAGGATGCGTTCTTGTTAGCCCATGTAAGTAAGATGTACCTGTACCCTTAAGAGAACCAGTTTCACTTATGAGGTTCACATGTCACCACTGGTACACTCGTTTGCACGTCAGATGTTGACATTTTGTAAAAATTCATAGTCATCTTCATTACGATTTGATGTTGGCTAAATCTGAACGTTTTAGCTTTTACGTTATGTAATGGCTTCTTGCTGAAAAATTCCAGATGAGGGATAAAATAACAGTTCAACGCTTCCTAGTTTGAATGATTCTCTGGCCAATATCAATTCTTAAGAATAACAGAAATAATAATTATTGTAGTAATATATATTCTTGTTACATCGTTTTCTCTTTTAATACAGGATATTCTGAACATTTCATAGAAATACCAGGTCATTTTATCGATATTGTATTAAGTGTCCGAAGTGTATGTCCAGTTATTATACAGTGCATAAACACAATAGGCTAATGAAGACCTTTTCATTTGAAGTAGTCCCAACAAGGACTAGTTTTACTGAGACAACCATTGAGATCCAAACCAATATTGAACAGTTGTTTTATCCTACTTTGAGACTTCACAGTAGTACGTAAAAACGACTTCATCAGCAATCAAGCCTACAAACTTTAGATCTCATGGCAAATCCATTCATCCAGTGAATTACATTATTAACTTCAATCAATTATTGATGTTTTTACGATCGCTGTCGGTGATATCTATTTCATACTCAATATTGATTGAGTTTTAGCGGTAATAGTATTTTATAAAAAAACTGAGAATTACATCTCCCAATTCGTCACCGATGAGCATATTATTATTATCATGATGATGAATGAATTACGTGTATATATGAATGAATAAATAAACAGATTCTGATTGCATAATTTATTTTGTCTCTCATTACAATATCAACACTTTATTCTTATATGATTTAAATGGGTTAATACATCGCTTATAAGTCTATATAAACAATATGGATTTATCATTTGACAAATTTCAGTGAATATCATCTTAATCCTCCTTTTAAAAAGTAAATATAAAGTGACGTAATCTTACAGTTGATGTACAATAATAACAGTATGGTATTTTTATTTCAGTAAACAAAATGGTTATGTAAAGATTCTACGTAACTGAAAAATAACTTTGATTACAAAACTGGGTATTAAGCAGAAAATTATCAACGTTTTAGGTAAACATAAGATTTCAATTAGATGGTTGTGATCTGTAGAATCAATCAAGTCTATAGAGGAGGTAGTTATGAGCAATTGATGAGTAATACTACCTAGTCAGCTACAACGTAGGACCAGGCACATATGTGCATCGGTCCAGGTTGCCATACCGCATCAGCACAACAAGATGAACACCGGATTCATAGCAGTGGTTAGGTCAAAGGTAGTAATATATAAGAGAAAGATTGCATATAGAGATATAGTACAAGAAGAAAAAATTGGTTCGTAGAAAGAAAGATATGAAGCGATTTTAATCTCTTAGTTTAAGGGAAGACAGGGAGTGTATACACCGACGCCATTGTGATCGATTCTGAGCCATGTCACCAAGAGTCTCCAACTATTGGTTACGATAGTCACGCGGACCCCAACCATGTAGTCTGCATCTACCAACATGGCTCAGACTAGAAGTTAGTGACTTCAGGCACTGATGCCACGTTTTGGTTTGGCCGCCCCTAACTTTCTTCCAACCATCTCCAACACCAGTTAGCATTGCACGTCGTGGTAATCGGTGTTCAGGCATATGTAACACGTGTCCCAACTATCTCAGTCGATGAAGATTCATAACCTCATCAACTGATTTACCATCATTCCCTAATACCCTGCGTCTAACCTCACTATTACTTACCCGGTGATCCCAGCAGACGCCAGCAATATTTCTAAGGCATTTGTGGTCAAATACTAATAGCTTACGAGTGTCTTCTACTCTTAATGGCCATGTTTCGCTGCCGTAAATACTACCTAGAAACAGTGAATGAATTATAATGTAGTTGGTTGAACTAAAGAACTTTGAATAACATGTCTGGCAAAAGTCTTGACATTGTAAGTGTATATTACTTAGAAAGTGTTGAAATAAAAAGTAGCAAATGTCTGGTGCTTTCAGGTGTTAAACAGCTTTCCAGGTAAGATCAGTGATCCTTTTGGAATAATGATATATAATGGTTAAAATAGCCTGTCGATTCACAGTATAAGTCATAGGAACGAAATCGATTATGATAAAGGAGATTTTAAAAATAATAAAGCTTGAAATTATTAATTATATAAGTAATGAATGCATCAACATTACTGTCACTAATTTTTAGCCATGGTACACAACGTCATCAAAACATGAACTACATTCTCCACACAACCGAAGGCCTCTCGGTGAACATATTCAGTGATTTCACAACTTAATGCTATTTATTCATGCTTGTGTTGTTGTCTGATGCCTGAATGCTTGACATTGATTTTTCCAAATCTTTCTAGTCCCCAGAAGTTTACTACACTTAGGCTCCGAGTCAAGGATAAATGGAAGATAGTATTAAAAGCTGTTTTTCTTCTAAGGTTAAGTTAAAGATGTTTACAGATCTGTATGTGATCTTAATATTCTAGCAGCTTCTAGGAACATACTAAAATTAACAACAGAATCGGTAGTTTTCAACTCTGGATATGCGACACAATTTGTCGCTTCCGTGGAACTCTCTTGGAAGCTTATTTTGAATGCCGCTAGCAAGAAGTATTTTCAGCTTTCTTCTTACCTTTTATATGCTATTCTTAAAGATAGTTCATGGAAATAAGATAGTACTGGTTTACACATGGTAGTATTATTCTGCTGAAATGAGGAGACATCACAGAAATAAGCTAAAAGTTGGATGGTTTCAGGTAATCAACGACCCTATAGGAAGTCAATCATAACCAAATTAGCTAAGTTGTAGTACCTCCGTCTATAAAACTATGTGATACAAATTAGAATGCCACAGCGTATCAGTACTTCTTTCAGATCGCTTTGTTGAGGAATGCCAACTAACGAAATAAGTCATTCAATCAGAAATTCTTAACGATTACCTCGTAACAACAAAATACTGTACGTGATGATGAATCACTCAAACAAGCAGCTACATTGCCACATGATCAGTAGAATTTTCTCAACACTCACGAACAGATATTCAAAACATGTGATACTATATCTACGCAATTATTAGTAACCGAAAATTTGCTGACAAATGCATTAAATTATTTAATAGCCCCATGATCATCATTATTATTATCCTGTATTCGACTTTCTCATCCAGGGTCATGGATGTGTACTTTTAAGGAGTAACATATAAGAACGAAACGATCATCCAATACTTCTAGGTTTAAAATGATAATCCAACTTAGATCAGCTGATAATTTCAGTGAAATTCAAGAGTCTTCACAACTCCATTACCTAAAATTGTCGTTATTACTAACTATATGAAACAGAGTTTACATCAATGGGAAGATTCAAACAAGCAATATCAAGTGCATTTAAACTTCACCTCATTGCACAAGCAAATGGCTATCAGGACTTAGTAGTTAAGTGGATAACGCGATGGTGTTTGGAGCGAACGATAATAAGTTCGAGCCCAAAGGTGAACATCAACTCTGAGATGCAGGTTCGTCCAACTAACGAATCGTAAATAGGACGAAATGCGCATAAAACTGGATTCCACTGCTAGTCACCATCCGTCTTTGCATATAATGCCTGTGAATGAAGGCTATATCGAGGCAATACGCACAGTATGCACATATGCCAATGATTCATAGAATCATTGT